TGGGGCGAAGGGCTCGGCTCAGCTGGGGCCGGAAGAGCTGGGGCGGCGGGACGCTGAGCGGGCGCGCGTCCGGCCCGAGTGCTGGGGAGGTCGGGAGGGGCCCAGAGGGCAGCAGGAGGGCCCAGGAGAGCCCCTGGCAGCCAGCGCGCAGGGTGACAAGCACACAAAGGCCTAGGAGGGGACGAAAGGGCACGGAAGCCGAGGACGACTAGAGGAGGAAGACCAACACTGGGGTGTCCCGGGTCGAAAGGGCCGAGAGAGCCCAGTGCATCCCAGGCCTGGAATGAAGCAGCCACTCAGGCCCCGGGCGGGTGCGGCGCTGGTGCGGACGCGGACTATCAGCTCCTGTTGCAGACGCCACACAGTGCACCCAGTGGCATGTTCCATCTCTGTTGGGGAGCCCTGGCCACCAGGGCCGGGCCTTCCCGGAGGCCTCCCCTAACCTGCTCCCATGTTCACAGCCTTGCCATGTCCAGCTGGTCCCAGGGCAACCCCAACACCTGTCCAGGCCAACCGGACTCTTGGCGCCTCCAGCCACACATTGACTCCTGGCCTGCGCCAAGGTAGCTTCCGGGGCATTTCGTGTAATCCGCCATGCTTTTCGCTGCAGACTATACACAGCATTGGGACTGGCAGCAGATGCCCCAGGGTCCTAAAAAGAGAGCCTGTAGAGAAGCTAGGACGGGGCCCAGCATGTGCCAGGCTAGCCTGTCTGGGAAGATGACAGTGGAGGGATGGTGGGCGAGTAGAAAGGGAGGGAGGTGTGAACTGATGAAGTAGTAGATTGGCCTAGCTAGCCTCTTCTGGTCGCCAGCTGCTAGAGCTGAGGATCTAGACACAGATTTTCCCAGTTCTACACCCCATTCTGCCTGTTTAGTTCTCTGATGTGAATCTTGCATTTCATTGTTTTTCTTGTAGGGAAGCAAGGAGACAGAAACCACGCAAGTGTCACTTACTTTCACTCCAGAGTAGAAGGCCTTGGTACACAGAGGTCTGTGTGCACACAGAAAGGCTCTGAGCCCAAGTTGCCTGCTGGGGCACCTGCCAGGACAGCCCAGCTTGCAGAGGGATGTTCAAGGCCCCATGCCCTCTGGCACAGCAAGGGGAAAAAATGGTTAACACTGAGGCCTACTCAGCACCCTTGGGTTTGATCAGCAAGGTGCATGTCCTTCAAGAAGCAGATGTGAGTGTGCCCAGGCTCCAGGGCTGGAGCACAATTTCCACCATTCCTAGGCATTGGGGTTTCACACAGCAGTGAAGAGGGCTTTTCCATAAGCAGGGCCGCCCCAGGGGACCTTCACTCACACTTCGCTGGGGCTGTCTCTGAGAAGCTGGCCATAGCCCATTGGGATGACTGTGGAGTCTGACAAAAGTGGCCTTGGCTGTGGCTTTGAGGGACCCAGACAGAGAAGCAGCACACAGTGAGTCAAAGGCTTCTCTCCCCACAGTCCACAATCTAAAGGGCCAGGGACAGCTCAACTGGAATATCTTCAGTGAGCCAGGGTAAAGGGGGACTGGGGAGGTCAAAGGCCCCAATCTCCCCTTTTTGTCCTCAGTTCAAAGACCACCCATTGTTACCTTTCTTTGCTAAAGGCATAGGAAGGCCAGTTAGGGGTGAACCACCCAGAGAGTATATCCCTGGGCTGTCTGGAGCAGGAGGATCCAAACAAACACATCCAACACACAACTGTGACCTGGGCATGCGCTCACTGCCCAGAAAGCTGCTGCACACACAGCATCCGGTGCATGTGCTGACCTCCCTCTGACGTGGACTCTACAGAATGTGCCAGGCTGCATGTCAAGTATGCCAGGCTAAATCCACACTGCCTGGGCCGCACACAAATCTCTGCACTCTAGGCAATACACATGGAGATACATGCTGGGTACACACCAGTGTACAGACGGGCATCCACAGCCCACAACACATGCATCTCTCTTTGTAGGTAGTCCTTGACCACGAGTCTACACACACATGCTCACACTCACGCGCGCGCGCCCACACACACACACACACACACACACACACACCACCCACAGTAAGTGCAAGCGCACTCCTGCAAGGTATGGTCCTAAAGTAACAGATGCGGAGTGTTGGTGTTTGTGCACAGCTGGATGGAAGCAGGAGACTGAGGGACAACAGACAGTAAACTCAGACGCCAGGCTGGTGAACGTAAGAGGGCCCAGGCCCCCAAATGCCAAGGCTGTGTGGAGACCCTGCTTTCTGCAGCGCATAAGGAGCAGGGTGCTGGGTGTTCCGGTTTGCTTGCTCTGCTGGGTATGTTGAGATAAAGCAGCACTGTAATAATTGCACAGCTCTGTCTCTGGACAGAAGGCCCTGCTCCCTGGTGAAACGGCTCTCCTCTCAGTCCTTCCAGGAGTCACCCTCCTGAGTCACCCTCCCGTGTGCTACCCCCTTCTTTTCACCCAGCGACTAGAGTTAGTTGACTGAGTAGGAATCTACCCAGACTCCCTGCATTCCCTGAAACTGACCCTTCTTTGAGTTCCCAGGCATACATTCCCGGGCCTCCTAGAAATGAGGGGTAGGTGGCAGTACATTAGAAGGGAAGGAAGCTCACCTCACATCCCCAGCACCTGGGTCAGTGCTATCTCAGTCCCCTTTCCCGCAGGATCGCAAAGTGTGGGCCTCAGGAAGAGGAGGCAGCCCCCATGGTCTGGTGGTTCTTAGAAGGATGCTGAGTGGGGACCTTTTCCCTCACACTGAAGTGCGCTCTGGGCGTGCGCAGCCCGCGCCCAGGGCACCTCGGAGTCTGGCCTCCTCCCCGCCCAGCCGGCCTGCCTACCTAAGCCTATGGCACTACTGGGTATGGAGACAAAAGGAAATCGGAAGTAAAAATTAGTTTGGAAACGGGCGCGAAATTCCAGGCACGTTTCCCCCTAATCCTTTCTTTGGAAATTGGACTTTCAAGTGAAGGCAAGTTTTCTGAAATTACCTCTTTGGCTCCTCCTTGAGAGCAGGCCGCCCTGGCCCAGAGCAGCGGAGGCGCCACCACCAACCAAGCCAGGGAACTCGGGGGGCGCGCGCCCAGGGCGGGGAGGCCTGGAGCCAACCGGGACCTGGTGAGCAAGAGGCGTTGATTGGGGGGGGGCGTTTGGGGGGAGGAGGGTGGCGGGAAAGTGTATTTTAAAGTGTACACCAACTCTGACATAGCGTAGGAGTTCAATATAGGAAGAAATTCTCAAGGAGACAGAGAGCCAACCGGCAAATTGCACTGTCACGCAGGGTCTTCCCACCCCCCAGCAGTGGGGAGCGAGCCCTTCCTGATCCCAGGTGACAAATGCTTCGAACTAGCGCCTCAACGTTCCCCCTAGGCCCGCCCCTCTGTCTAAATCTATCTCCCTTCGCCCCTCTCAAAGAAACAAAACCCGTCAGCTCTGGTGGGGTGAAAGCTTTGCTCAGACCACTGGTGGATATTTACCCCTTTATAAAACAAAGCAACAACAACAGAAAGATGTCCAGGCCCGTCAGGGGCCACAGCAGTGCTGCGAAGCCATGGGGGACACAGTGCCACTGGGGTGCTAGGCCTGCCACCCAGGGAAAGACAGTGACCAGTGGCCTCTTTGGCTCAGGAACTGGCCTTGGCCGTTTCCCCAAGGGTTCTCGCCGCCGCCTTCCCTATCCCCACTCAACAGCCTTGAAACCCCAGCCTTAGAACACCGGGTCGGTTGGAGGGAAAGTGAAGGCCAGGCCGCCGGCACCCCAAGGCTGGGTGCCTAAGGCGGACAAAAACACCAGTCTATGGGAGTGATAAGAAAATGGAGAATACTGTATTTGCTTTAGAAAGTTTTTACATATAGATAAACACGCAGTTAGGATAACAGTAATAGCGCCCTAGGGGAGTGAGAGATACTCCAAAGCAGCTAAGAAATACTTGCAATAGCTTTTGCATAAGAATACTACGGTCTCACTCTCCGCTTCCTCTAGCGACAGGGCCCCTCTCCTAATCCAGCCCGTCTCCCCACGCAGTGACCCCCAAGTCCCTGCCAGGGACACAGAGCAGGAGGGCCACCCCCAAGGAAAGAGACAGGTGAGCAGGGAAGCAGGAAGAAGGAGGGAGAAGAGAGAAAGAAAAAGGGCAGGAGAAAAAGCAGTTATCTTATACAGGCAATTTCTACACATATATTACAAACTGGGAAAATGACCGATCATTAAGATATACATAATTCATATAAAATTTTGAAATAAAAATAAAAATCTGTTACAGTCATAACTATTCTTTTTCCACATTTATAACCAGTACCCACACAGGCAGTGACAGGAGTGGAGAGAAAAAGGTGCTTACGAAGAAAATGATTGTCTGCTGAACAAAAAACAGAAGATTGCATCTTGTTGGAAAAATACTTGGACTTAAAAACAGAGAGAAGAAAGAAGAAGAGAGCAAGAGAGGGAAAAGGAGCAGAGAGCCACACAAGGCAAGAATCGTCTGCGATTTCCCTCTCAGAGGAGTTCATTTCTGGGTGTTTTTCTTTTTACAAATTCAGAACGGAGATAGCGATTTTTTTTTCCTTCCTGTCTGTTTTGCTTTCTTGTCGTGGTGGTCGGTTTTTGTACAGCCGACTCTTTAAATTGTTTTAAACTAGAGGATATTTTCCCAGATACAAATAAATTGTCATGCAGGTGGGGTGCCAGGTTCGGTGGGAACCGAAAGGAGAAACCGCGCTCGTCCTGCAAAGTGAACAATTGTCACCTCTCCTACGTTTTCTGCCCAAGCCCCAGCTTTGGTGCCTGTCCACGTCGCTCCTGGGGTGGTCGTGGCGGTAGACGGTGGCTGGGAGTTGCTGACGCTTTGCGCTTCTTTTCTTTTTCTTGGTTTTTTTCCCTATGTTTTGGCTGGGGTAGGAGTGTGCGTGTTCTTGTGTGTTTTCTGTGTGTGGTTGTGTGTCCTGATTTCGATTTGCTCAGGGGGGTGGAGGAGGAAGAGGCAGGCGAGGAGGAGGAGGAGGGCAATGAGGAGGAGGAGGGAGGAGGGCGGCCCTGGCTATCATACATCACATTCCGAGTCGCTGGAGGTGACCGACAGGATGGAGGTGCCGGTGTCCGCGCGCTCCGTCAGGCTGGACACGCTGGTGGTCGGGCTGGCCGCCGTGGACGGCGACTCGGCCGAGCCGTGCGTGGGGCAGCCGGGCTCGGCCAGCGAGCGCATGCCGCTCGGCCCGATGGCCTGATGCTGGAGCCTGCGGAAGACAGAGAGCGCGCCCGCGCTGACACAGGGCCCCGACACCCGGCTCCTCCGAGCCGCCGCCCCGCGCCCGCGCCGGCGTCCCAACGCCTCCCCAGCCCCAGTCTAGCTTTAGGCTCCCCTCCCTGGGCGCTCCAAAGGCGCCGGGGAGAGGTAACATCCGGGGCGGGCTGCCCAGGGGAGGCCTGCGCCCCCCCCCAACAGAGCAGTCCCAAACGAACGGAAGTCAGGGGGTCACGGGGCTTTGCCCTCCCTAGTTCTCCTGATGGAGTCGGCTACAGGGCGAGAGGATCGCTCGACAGTGTCCCGGCCCCAGTTTGCCTAAGCACACACGAGAGCTGTGGTCTGAGCACCAGCCCCGACTCTGGGCTGGGACCTGCCTGGGTCCCGCTGGATCCCAGCGCACAGCACAGGAGCAGAGAAGAAGGGGGGGAAACCAAGCCAAACAAAGCAAAAAACAAAGCCTGGCAGCCTAGAGCAGATCGGGGAAGGAGGGAAGTGAGAGAAGGAGACGCGTAGGAGGGGCAGAGCAGTCTCTCACTGCAGCTTTTCCTGGCGAGGCTGCGGTAACTGAACCAATGTGTGGATCCTTCCCTGAAGGAGGCCTGCGCCTGACCCGGAGTGGGCCCCTGTGGGGCGAAAACTGGCCTTCTGTGGCGGGGCAGACGGCCTTGGGCTGAGACCTGGGTCACCAGGCTCAAGCACACACACGTTCAAACTCACTCCACAACTGGCAGGAAGCAGCAGGCAGCTGTCAGCAGGTAGGCTCGCGACCCTGCGGGCCTGCTCACCGCCTTCCCTGTCTGCCATGGGCGCAGCTTGCCCTCAGCGTCTTCCATCCCTTCTGCCTTCTCTCCCCTCGTTTTCCTCTTTCTCTGGCTTTCCCTCTGTTCTTTCGGTAGGCCCAGTTCCACTGATGGTCAAGCAGGCCCAACTTTATCACTCTGTGGCCAACTTGCCAACAGCAAGACTGACGGTTCCCTTCTCAACCTTGGCGGGCTCTGGCAGGGGAGCAGCACTTCCACACGCACACCCACACACAGACGCTAGGCCTCTCCTCCATTCCCACCCGAGGGCAGTGCGCACCGCTGTGGGAAGGAGGTGCGCTGCTCCGAGGCCGCCCGTCACTCCTTTGTGACAGGGACCTAGTGCAGTTTCCTCCTTCTCACACAGGTCCGTTTCTCCTGGGTTGGACAATGCATAGAGGTGAAAGGTGGCGGCCAGGAGAACCAGGTGGCAAGGGGAGTTTTCCTTCCTCCCGGGTCTCCAGGAGCCGGGGTCGGGACAGAGGAGGCATATGCGGGGATAAAGCAGGGGCGGAGGCCCCCCAGGGGCGGAGACCACGGGCTGTGAGGACTCGGGACGCACAGATACACCAGTTCCCCCCTCAATAAACCCCTAGCCCGGGCCTCTGCGCCGGGGCAGGCGGAAACTTTCTTCTCCGACTGGCCCAGAGGTCGAGGCTTCTGAATGCTCGGCGCAGGTTCCCATCATCCCACGCCCGCCCTGTTTCAACTCGCCTTCCCTCCCAGGGTTGCCAGGCGGGAGGCAGGATCGGGGCCCACCGACTGACCTGTTCTTGGCCGCCGCGGCGCGGTCCCGCTGCCGCCGATTCTTAAACCAGTTGCCTACTTGTGTGGGAGTGAGGCCGGTGGCCTGCGCCAGTTCGCGTTTCTTGCTGGGGTTGGGGTAGGGGTCCTGCAGGTACCACTCCCGCAGCAGGCTCCGAGTCCGCTCCTTGAAGCAGTGCGTCTTCTGTTCGCCATCCCAGATGGTGCGCGGCAGCGGGAACTTCTTGCGCACGCGGTACTTGTCCACCGGGCCGAGCGGGCGGCCGCGCAGCTTCTCGGCCTCCTGGTAGTGCGCCTCGAGCCACATGGCCTGCAGCTTGCCGTGGGACTCCTTGGTGAACTTGTGGTTCTCCAGGATGTGGTAGAGGTCGCGGAAGTTGCCCGTGTGGAAGGCGACCACAGCGCGCGCGCGCAGGATCGACTCGTGCTTGTTGATGGCCTCGCACGCTCCGGGGGCCACGGGCAGAGACCAGAGGAAGCGGCCCAGCCGCTCGATGTCGCCCGTCTCCTCCAGCGTCTCACAGACGCTGGCCACCTGCTCCGGCGAGAAGTTGAGGGTGGGCAGCTGGAACATGGACAACTCTTCCGGGGGGGCCCTGGAGCCGCCGCCGCCGCCGCCGCCTGCTCCGCCAGCACCGCCGCCGCCCGCACCGTGCCCGCCGCCGCTGGCTCCCGCGCCGTGCCCGCCGCTGCTACTCGCCAGAAGTAGGGAGCGGTGGTGAGAATCGGTGAAGTTTGGCAACAGGAAGTGGGAGGAATAGAGGTCTAGGGGGGAGCGGAATACCATGGACTGACCTGAGAGGAGAGGAGAAAATTCAGGGAGAGGAAGAGAGAGGGGAGGAAGAGGAGGAGAGGGGGGACGCGGACCCGGAGGAGGGAGAGAAGAGGGGGGAGGAGGAGAGGGAGAGGAGGGGGGAGTAGGAGGAGGAGGAGGAGGGGGAGGAGGAAGGGCGTAAGGGACACCCACACCCCACACACATCCACACACACACACACCCGCGCAGCCACATAGAGAGGAGGAAGGAGAGGGCTGGGTGCGCGCGCGCAGAGAGAGCGGGAGCCGGAGCGCGGGCGAGGGGAGCGCGCGAGCGCGGGAGCCGGGGAGCCGGGGAGCCAGGGGGCCGGGGAGCCGGGGAGCCGGGGGGCGAGGGCCAACCACCGCCCAGGCGAGATTCAGCGATTCCACAGCAATCGCCCTAATGACAACAGCCTCATAATATCTCCCCTAAATCCACCGTGAGTGCTGCATTGAAACATTTTGTTTCGCTTTTCTATTGGTCTGCGGCATGTCGTTGTAGCGTTGTCACGGCAACCGCTGCCAATCACTGTCAGGCCTGCCAATCAATACCGAGAACGTCAGGGCGGTTTTACCACTGGGGGGGGAGTGGGAGGGAGGAGGCTGAAGGGGGAGAAAGAGAGAACATCTTTTTTTTTTAATCTTTGCAACTCTTAATCTCGCCACTTCCCTTCCCTTTCTCTGCCTCTCTCCCTGTCTTTTTCTTACTGTCCATTTGCCTCCTTCCTCTCTCTTTCCCCAAAGAAGTTGAACCATAAATCCGAAATGCTGCCAGCCCAGCACTGAGTTGTTGAACAGGATGAGCAATTACTGGGGGTATTTCGTGGCGAGGAAAGAGGCTCCCCACTCCGCGCTCAGGCAGAGGGCCAGCCCAGCCCGCAGGGAGAGGCCGGAGCCCGCAAGTCAGGCCGCTTCTCTCTGCCTATGTGAGCTCTAATAGAGGCGGGGAAGAATGCCCAGTGCGCACCGACCCCAGTCCTGCGGGCCTCGGCGCCCGGGATCTGGATGCCGCAGGACATCTGGCGCCCTGTGCGCCTCAGAAGCGTGAGCTCGAGCTCCAAAGTGCCGGATCAGCATCGCTGACCACACTCGCTCAGCAGCTACGGCATTGGTTCTGGCATCTCTTCACTCCGTTACCAACCAAGGATGCTCGGCTGCTCTCCATCCTTCACGTAATACTTAAAAACAACAGTCGAAATAACTACATTTTTCTACGTTGCCTTCCTTAAAATACAGCACGCAGCTTTGACCACCTCCCCTCAGAATTGAGCCACCCCCTCTAGAAGGTGAGGGGCCCCGAGTAGCTGGGCAGCTAGCTCCTGGGGGTGCTGATATGCTGGCCGCCTTCAGGAGCGCTGGGCCTGCCTGCCAGATCCAGAAAGGCAGCAGAGTCTGGACATCAGTCCTAACGAAGTGCTCAAGGCCCAGGCATGGCTTGCTTGCACAAATCGTAAAGAAAAAGAAGAAACTCAACCAAACTGGTTGATTTTCCTGGGGACGAAACCACGCAAGCCCGGCAAGCACACCACGGAGGGCTCTCCCTCAGAGCGCCGGCTGCCCTCTTATTTTATTGAGGTGTAGTACTTTTAAGAAGATGTAATCAACAACTTGAGCCCGCCTCGGCTTTGTGAGGCCTCTGTAACTATGGAAGTGTGATTTACTCAGATTTGTCCGGGTCACAGACGTCTTTCCCTAGAACACTATGTATATTTAGACAGGACTCGGTTTGGTGTTAAAAAGTGTATATTTTAAACGGATTCACACACAGTAGCCAACAATGCCTACATTGTCAGCCCGTGTACAACGTGTATTGAGACGCAGCGTACAGACTTCAACTAATCTGCCCTCAATAAAGCTGAAATAATTATCCTAAGCTGCCTTTCCAGAAGAAAAATCATTGAGGAATTCAAAACTTTTTTTTTAGCAAAAGATCTTTTCTGCATTCCAATGCAGATCTGGGGGTGAGGCGCTGTGTCCACACCACTTTGGAGATCTCAATGAGGGAGGAAAGAAAAAGAGTGAGCAAGAATGTAAATGGGACGCCTAATGGGGCTGGGGCTGCTGGAGTCCCAGCCCCAAATCAGCGCACTCTGGCTTCGCTCAGGCTTCGGGGGGCCTCCTGGGCGGGGGCGCCTCAGCCAGCCACCCCGAGACCCCAGGGACAGGGTGGTGTGGGGGTGCGCAAAGCTCACCCGGCCCGAGGCAGCAGAGGTTCTCAGGTCACTGAGTTGAACAGGAAAAGATTCCCAGAGGAAGGACGACCAGGCTCACTTCGGGGGTCCCTCCTCTCCCTATTTCTTCCTCCCCGCTATACGTAATTTTCTGCTCGGTTTGGAAGCGCTGGGAGGGTTCAAGGTGGGCTCAGAAAGAACCCAAAGGTTGGGACACAAAACCAGACACTTCATCTTTTCTCCCAGTTCCCTTTCTCCTGTAGGGGACGGATTATAGGCCCAGGGGTGGGAGGAGGAAGGGGCAGGAGGAGGAAGCGGGAGAGGAAGGATTGAAAAAGGGGAGGGGAGTGGGTATTGTGCCGCGTGTGGGGGGACGAATTCCTACGGGTGGGTTTCCGAATATTGTGTTCAACTTTTTGAAAGCACCTCGTGACCCCGAAACTACATCCCCCAGCCGGGGACCCAGGCGCCTGGCGGGCGGCTGAACCCAGTCAGTCCCCTCCCCATCCCCACAACCCCCGCCTCGGGGTGGGGAGGCCTGGCCTTTCCCCGCCGCCGCGGCCCCGCAGCCGAGGGAGACTGGGCAGGTGCCGCGGGGCCCTGCCAGAAGCGCTGAAATCGAAAACCGTAGCCACTCGGGAAGAAGTTGGACAAGGGACGCAGGGCTCCGCTCAGCGACTCTCCCGCCCCCCAGGCTCAGCCCAGGCGTCTGGCAACCCTCTGCACCTCGCCTGCTCGGTGGCGGTGGCGGCCGCGGCTCGAGATGGGCAAGCCGGCGGAGGGCGGCGGCGAGGCGCGCAGCTT